AACAGCGTGTGTATTCGCGGACACTACAGGCTCAGGGAAGGGCAGTGCTCTGCTCACAGGCACTTTAATTCGTTGAGGCTTCAGCTGAGCTGTGCCATGGCCCACTGTGACAGTCAACATGACCCTGGCAAATGGCAGAAGAAAAGAGCTGCCCCAAACACATGGCGACTGAATGACAGTGAGGCCCAGGAGAGACTAAAGGGAAATTACAGAAACCATGCAAATGAGTGCAGATGACAGCACAGCAGAAAGCCTCAGGGATACAGCAGGACCAGAGCGAGGAGGGCACGCCACCGCGATGCTACCCACAGCAAGAAAGCAGAAGGACCAATGCATGTCAAGGACTGAAAATACAGCCAAGCAAACCCAAAACTGGTATAAAGAAATAATTAAAATTTAGAATAAAATTGAAACCAAAACCACGCAATACATATAAGATCAATGAATTGAAGAGTTTTTTTTTTTAAATAAACAAAATACATACACTGTTGGCCCAGCTAACCAAGAAAAGCAGGGAGACACAAATGAGAGCCAGAGACAAATGGGAAATGGAACAACGGACACCCACGGATCCACACAGAACCATCAGGGACAACGACAAACACCCGTGTGCCAACAGCTGGACAATCCAGAGAGGAGAGGTCCCTGGACACACAATCTAACTCGAGTCATCAGGACACAGAAAACCCAGAGAAAATAACTAAGACGAAGATTGAATCTGTGATAAAGGCTCTTGCACGGCTACATTCTACCAGACCTTTCAAGAACTAATTCCAATTCTCCTCAAACATTCAAAACAGCAGCAAGGGAGGCAAACCTCCCAAACTCCTTTGACGAGGCCAGCCTCACGTTAATTCCAAAACCAGAATAAGATAAAGGAGAGAACTACGGCCGATGTCCCTGATGAACACAGAGGTCAAACTCCTCAACAAAATGCCAGCTCACCGAATCCAACAACACATCAGAAAGATGGCTCACTGAGTGGACCTCTCTGCTGTGCAGGGAGGGTTCAACAAATGCCAGTCATAGGACACAACAAATCAACAAAATTAAGAATAAAAACCATAGGATTATTTCAATAGACCCAGACAAAGCATCTGATAAAATATAGCAACTTTTCACGATAAAAACCTTAAGTAAGTTGGATAGAATATTCTTCAACACATAATATGAGAGATCTGTAGGAAGCATATATTGCATCAGAACAATTCTCAGTATGTTACTATGCGTCTGACGTCTTAGAGAAACAACCCTTTCTGGCTGCACATCAGGGCTGTTTATTTCTTGAAGACAGCAAGGGCCAGCCAGGGGCAGGGGCAAGGGCTAGCCAGGGGCAGGGGGAAGGGCCAGCCAGGGGCAGGGGCAAGGGCTAGCCAGGGGCAGGGGCAAGGGCTAGCCAGGGGCAGGGGGAAGGGCCAGCCAGGGGCAGGGGGAAGGGCTAGCCAGGGGCAGGGGGAAGGGCCAGCCAGGGGCAGGGGCAAGGGCCAGCCAGGGGCAGGGGGAAGGGCCAGCCAGGGGCAGGCCTTTGACAGGCCACTCTAGAGGAAGCATCTGCTGGGTTGCAGCAAAGCCTGCCTTGGTGTCAGAGCACCCAAGAACCGATCCGCATGGGATCCACCCCAGCTGGCTCTGGCCTGCTCAGCTGGGGTGCCCGAGCTCCAGCCTTGGTCCTCTTGGCCACCCACAGGCCTGTGTGGTGAGCTGTGCCTTCTACTTCCAGGACCTATGGGTGTCATGAGCTGCTGGTGTGTCCTGGTAGCCGCCCTGAGTCCTCGCCTCATCAAAGAACAGTCTGTGACACACATTCTTGCCACAAAGACTCCCACCAACAGTGGACTCGGGGCCCATTTCCAACCCTTCCCGTAAGCAGTCTCCACCTACTCATCCTCAGAGTGACACCGAACAGGCCCCACACGCGCGGGCTGGGATTCAGGGCCACCCTCCGGGGGTGGTGACCTTCCTTGTAATCAGTCTGATTTTCTGTAGACTGACTTCATCACTATACAGAAAATGTCTAAATCCAGACGCCTGGCCCCGGCCCCGGCTGAGAGCCCTGTGCCCTGGGGAGCAGTGGTGACTCAGTCTACCTCCTTTCCCGGGACAGTCCCTGTGGCAACACGCCAGGAAACATGCAGAACTAAGCCATGGCCACTAGATGGCAGGCTTTCAGAACGACAGTGAGGGGCAAGTTGAACAGGCTGGCCGCGTGTGGGGGCTGCTGCCGTGGCAAGGCAGTCTAACTCGCTGTTCCGTTCCTCTCAGAGCCATCAAGGCGTGTGCTCAGTTCAGGGGATTTCAGAGAGCTGCCCTGACCACTGCCACTGCTCTGCCTCCTGTGGGAAATCCTTGCCTTGCTCCAAATTCTGCCCTCAGTTCTCATCCACTCCTTTCATCCGCTGGTCAGTGGCGGGAGGTAAGACAATCAACCCTGAGCCACTGGCGTGAGGGCTCCCTCCACACTGCTCTCTCCACGACCCGGAAGCATAACGGAGACGGGGGAGGAGCAAACGGGACTCATACTCTTGGCAAGGCACACACGGCAGCGTGGGGTGGGATGGCCGTGGACAGTGGCAATGGCAGTGGCATGGCCGTGGACAGTGGCAGCATGGGGCAGTGGCATGGCCGTGGACAGTGGCAGCATGGGGTGGGATGGCCGTGGACAGTGGCAGCGTGGGGCAGTGGGATGGCCGTGGACAGTGGCAGCGTGGGGCAGTGGGATGGCCGTGGACAGTGGCAGCGTGGGGCAGTGGGATGGCCGTGGACAGGCTGGTGGCAAACGTTTCCAGAGAAATCAGCAAGGCGACTCCGCAGGATGCCCACTGCATGCTTGGAGCTGTGCCATGTCTCTGCATTTTCTCCTTCCTGGCATGGGACCTGCTGCATCTATGGTACAGGTGGGAGCTTCCTAACCCTTCCTCCGTCTCCCCTTAAAGTGCTCCCCCCAAGTTCCCACAAATTTATGGCTTCAAATCCCACCCCTCCCCAGGTGTCAGGGTAAGGAAGTGAGCAGGCTATGGTGATGGAGACTTTGCGAGTCGGGGCAGAGCCTTAGTCCACCTAATCTGAGGGGCTCACAGGGCTCCGGCACCAGACCCCACCCAACAGGGACACCTCCAGGGGCTCCTGTGACCCGGGGAGCACCTTCACCAGACCCCACCCAGCAGGGACACCTCCAGGGGCTCCCGTGACCCGGGGAGCACCTTCACCAGACCCCACAGGCACAGCTGCCTGGATCTGGACTTCCCACACTCCATCTCTGCTGTTTGTTATTTTGCTGCAGCAGCCAGGCCAGATGAGGCCGGACAAGGCCAGCCTGGCTGACACTGGGGCTGCTCTGTAAGGCAGCCCCAGGGTCATGGCCAGCCTCCTCTGACGTGATCCCTGGTGGACAGGGTGATGTGTGAGCCACACATGAGTGGGCCACAGCAGGCAGGCACACCCTTCTAGACCCTCCCTTCCGCATGTGGACGCCAGCGGGGAGGATGACAGCAAGCAGCTTGCAGGGCCTGGGTGCCCAATCCTGGGGATCCTCGGGACCCACAGAGCTGCCACCAGGGGGCAAGAGGATGCCCCTGGGGAGGGACACAGGCTGGCCTCAGGAGCCACAGCTCTCCTGAATACCCTGGGCTCACAGCTCTCTGCTTTGGCCTCAAGCTGCCGCAGGGCCAGTCAAGAGCTTGTGGCATGAGGCGAGGGTTTCACAGAGCCAGTGATAGCTGTCCGGTGTGACCGGTGGCTTTGTGGAAAACAGTGGCGAGAGGTGGCAGGTGGCCTCCACCGGGAAAACCAATTCATCAGAGGGACACGCAGGCATGCAGGGGAGGTTGATGCGCAGACATGGACCACAAATGTTGAACTTCCACCCCTTCAGAGACCAAGCAACTCTGAGCTTAAAATAAGAAGGGACCCTTGCAAAGAGGTCCTTGGCAAACATTTCACGAAAGGAAGTTGTACCAATTCATATGCATTAGTATGGAGGGGAAATTGCGCACCGTGTACCCCTGTGTGCCTGGGCTGGCCTCTCCCAGCACTGACAGCTGGACGAGGGGGCTCGGGGATCATGGGACCCTCTGGGTTTCTGTGAGTGAGGCTGTACGCCCCACCACGGGCTTGTAACAGATTTCCTTCAGTGAACACCTCACTGCTCTCCTCCTGGATTTCTGGAGTCGGTGGAAGCTCCCCTGGCAGCCACTCCGGTCCTGAGATGGAGCAGAGCACAGCGGGAGGCTCTGCGCCCCTGCCGCTTACGCAGGCACTGCCCAGGACTGCTCTATCTTCCCTTTCACAGACCACACGTCCTGGGGGCAGGGCTGGGCCCTGAGAGGCACTGGCCCAGTCGGCCAGACCACACAGTGGATGCTGAGGTTAGGGGAGTGACAACATGGGGCTGAGTGACAGGGTGGGCCTGAGCATGAAGCAGGTGCACAGGGGACAGCTGAGTGGCAGTGTGGGCACAGACCCTGCTGCCGCAGAGGGCGCCAGTCTCATTCAGCCCAGTGAATGCCAACCAGAAACCTCCCTTCCTGGTCTCCAGCTGTGGTCTGTCCCAGCAGCTCCTGACCATGGCTGCCAGCAGAGGCTGGACTGATCCGATGGCAGAGATCTGGGAGGCGGGATATGTCCATAGTCCCTCTGGGAACCCAGGCAGGGCTGGCTCCCAGAGGCCTGCCTTAGCCAGGAGGCCAGTGCCCTGAGAGGCCAGCCTCCACCCAGCATCCTTGCTGTCCTGTCCCCCTGTGAGCACCAGCCATTCTCCTCACAGTCCCAACCTGTGGGCGGCTGCAATTCCAAGGGCTGGTCCCGCAGGCCTCTGCCCACCGCCCCCCCCCCGGTGGGGGTCCTGCAGGTGTGCAGAGTGGCCAACGACTTCCCACCCCCTGGCACTGAGTGCGGCACACCAGGCCTCCAGCACCTGTGAGGACAGGACCCTGGCTTTGCACAAGTCACCAGAGGGTCACATCAAGACAACCCAGCATCACAGTTGGTGTGGGGGTGCCTACCGCAGTACCCCGGGGTGCCGCACACGGTCTTCATGAGCACCTGGTGGTCCACGATTTTGGAGAGTCCGAAATCAGCTGACAATGCAAGAGAGAAATTCAGTGAAGCAAACTGTCTTGGCCTGTGTCCAAGCTTGCCCCGCAGAGCCAACGTCGGTGCCCACTTGCCTGTGTGCGTGTTGCGCAGGAGGGGCTACGAGCGCACACAGGCCACCTGGGAAAAGCTCAGCGCTGACCAGTCAAGCCCCTTTGCATCGCAGGGAGACGCAGCTTTAGGCGCACCTGCAAGACCTCCCACCGGCCCGCGCACTGCCCCACCGCTCTCAGCCGTCAGCTAACAAGCCGCATTTCCTTGAAGGCAACCCCCTCCCTCAAACAGCTGTCACATTGCACGTGCTGCAACGGTATTAATTCTGAGATGTATGGTACAGTATATAAGGGATGACACAGAATTAGGGATTTAATTCAGAACCTTTTTTTGCTCATCAAGACAACAAATTAAACTTTTTAAGCCCATGAAAATAAAGAGATATCAAAATTCATCCGGCTTGAACATACGTGAAGTCAGTTCTAGTGTCCTGCAATTACAATCTACTCTCATATGAAGAATGGAACAGGAATCCCCTTCTTATCTTCCTCCAAGCATGAGGGAGGAAGGGCTACCTCGCTCCCCCAGCCACCAGCCCAGGGCGGCAGGTGCCAGAGCCCATCTCTGTGGAAGCCGTCTCTTGCCTGCCCAAGACAGGGTCTGTCCACCTTCTAAGGATCAACGGTCTGACTGGACGGCTGAGGCAAGGGAACCCCCAATTCTGGCTTCCTGGGGCACCTTGCACCACCTGAGCTCCCAGGACTGAATGGCTTAGCTGTGATGATGGCACCTGGTGACGCTGTGACTGTGCCAGGCAAGCCCTGCAAAGCGCAGCACTGGCTGGCCAGGCCCTGCGGGAGCAGTGCAAGTCTGCTAAGGAGAGTCCACCCAAGGGACACACTTCAAAGCTTCCATGATTGACAGTCTGAGAAGTAGACTGACAGCCTTTTCCAGAAGACCTATCAGAGCCCAGTTCAGGTCGACCATAAGTTTCGCACAATCTTTTGGTTACTGGGAAGGGAGGGGGTTTGCCTGGGAGGACGGGGAGGTTCCCAGAGTCAACGAGGCTTGTGTGCGAGCAGCCTCACAGACAACGCCCATGAGTGTCACTGTCTACACGTGAGGGCTCCTGGGAATAAGTCACAGACTAAACCCCTTAACCCCATCAATCTCATGTTCCTGAACTCATCTGAACTCCCCTTGCCTGCAGCGCAGGGGTGCATTGTGGGAACAGGTCACCGTTTGTCTCCGCTCATGCTCACAGCTGCTCAGAGCCTGGATTCGCCAATCTACACCAAGCACTTTATGTCGAAGCGCCAAGCAATCTGCATAGTAAGTGACAAACTTCTCAGCCCCTGCTCCAAGCACATGAGCTCAGGATTGTTAGGCCTCTGCTTGGCTGCCCGCCGACAACCTTCAAGACCCCCGCTGAGGCCCTGGCATCTGTAAGAGTGGGGTCCGTCTCTGTGCCCCAGACCAAGCACTGGCTGCACGCACCAACTCCCAGCCAAGGCCCCAGACTCAGCACCAGCTCCCCACTGAGCTGCATCCTCTCTCAGAACCCACGCCTTCCACCCCGGGACCTCAGAAATGTCCTCACCGATTTTGAGTGGCGCGTCTGGGGCCGGCGTGGCGTAGAGCAGATTCTCCGGTTTGAGATCACGATGGACAATCCCATTCTCATGCAGGTACTAAACGGGGGAGAACAACAAGGGCATTTGTGCGGTTCTGCTTATATGTCCAACATTTATGCTAAATCTTTTAGGAATTGGCATAATATTAACACACACACAGTGATTTAAAAACAGATTTCGTATAGTAAAAGATTTCCAACTATACCCACATAGAGTTCGCAAAATGTGAAACGCAACTCAAATAGTACAATCTCAAGTCCCAGAACAAGCTTCCTGCGTGTGGAGTATCAGCTACAGTTCTCTTCATTCACACCACGTCAGCTGGAATTAGCCAGTTATCAACCGAATGCAGACTCAGCTTCTGGCATTCATCTGGTTCACTTTGTGACAAGCATCAACCGTCTGTGTGAGCTTGGAAACTCCGCCATGGCAAAGGCTTGATGGTTACTGCCACACTTGGGCGTGGAGGAGGGGAGGGGAGGGGAGGGGAGGGGAGGGGAAGGGAGGGGAGGGGAGGGGAGGGGAAGGGAGGGGAGGGGAGGAGGGGAAGAGGGGAGGAGAGGAGGAGAGGGGAGGGGAGGGGAGGGGAAGAGAGGAGGGGAGGGGAGGAGAGGAGGAGGGGGGAGGGGAGGGGAGAGGAGGGGAGGAGAGGAGGAGGGGGGAGGGGAGGGGAGAGGAGGGGAGGGGAGAGGAGGGGAGGGGAAGGGAGGGGAGGGGAGGAGGGGAAGAGGGAAGAAGAGGAGGAGAGGGGAAGAGAGGAAGGGAGGGGAGGAGAGGAGGAGAGGGGAGAGGAGGGGAGAAGGGAGGGGAGAGGAGGGGAGGGGAGGAGAGGAAGGGGAGTTGTGATGGAGGTGATGGTGATGGGCAGCAGCAGGACGATGGCTCCTTCAGGGGGAACCCTGCGGCCAGCTGCAGGTGACCCTCTCTGACAGCCCCACCTGGGTTTGAGGTCATTCTGTGGGGCTGCGCCTCCCGCCTCACCTCTGCTCCACCTTCAGCCTCTCAGCAGTTTGGAACTTTCCCCTGCATTTGTACGTAAGGAGCTAGTCCCAAGTTTGTTCTCTTACTTAAAAGTCTCTTTGATGTGAACTGCGCCTTCTCTCACTCGGCAGCCTGCATGTGAAACACTGTGACACGCTGCTGCTTATCTCACCTCGTTCCTGCACCATCTGGCAGGCGCCTCCCACTGAGTCTTGTCACTCCCCCTTTTCTCTGAAGGATGTTCAAGTGGCCTCCAGTTTGGAAACAGTAAAAGCACCTGCTGCCAGAGGCTGAGCCCTGGACGCCCCCCTCACGCCAGGTGGGGCTCAAGTGCAGGGTGTGCCTGGGACCCCAGCGCCTTGCGTTAACTGCACAGGGAGGGCAGGATGAGAGAACGCTCCTGCAAGCCTTGCGGCCTGGGAAGGTGTGCAGAGGCCCCAACAGCATCGTGTAACCACAGGAACTAGCCAGTGAAGGGGAGCCATCGTCCTCGGGCGCAGCTGCACAGCACCCAGATTCTGCGGACTAGCACCACTAAGAAAGACAGGACCGAAGGATGCCCGCCGACGCCTCCTGCCTGAGGTCAACAGTGAAGCCCCAGCAGGGGACATCTAACACACCTCTGTAAATCTAACCATGTGACCCAGGCAGGTAACCCCCCACGCCCCGCTGCAGCACCCACATGCTCAAGGTGGGAGGGACACTGGCTGCCACCGACAGAGCAGCACCCAGGGCACTCCCACAGTGCAGTCAGGAACGGAGGGGGAGGGGAAGGAGGGGGAGAGTCGGCTGCAGGGCAACCTGCCCATGTCCTGCCCAGCAGTTTTTAGTGTGTGTTTTACATTTTATGTTCACTGGAAAGGCGGATATATACAGAGAAGAGACAGAGAGGAAGCTCTCCGACGTGCAGGGTCCCAAGGCTTTGGGCCGTCCTCGACTGCTTTCCCAGGCCACAAGCAGGGAGCTGGATGGGAAGTGGGGCCACTGGGATTAGAACCGACGCCCATATGGGATCCTGGCATGTGCAAGGCAAGCACATTAGCCACTAGGCCACCACGCCAGCCGGTCCCAGGTGCTCTGCACCAAAAGCCACGGAGACTCAGCCGCCATCAATCCTCGCCCCTTGTGAAATGTGTCTGCGGCTCTTTGCTTCAGCCTCAAAGCCTCCTGTGAAGAGGAGCACTGGCTTCTAGTCCACCTTGCCTTCCTCCCTGCCGAGCAGCCCCGCCCCCCCAGCACGGCACAGAGGCTCGAGAAGGCCCTGGCTTACCGCTCCCGTCCCTCGCCTGCTCTCCGACTCCTGCTTCTAGTTTATGAGAAAGGTCATGTGTGTTTTTAAATTTAACTTGCCATAAATCCTCTACCCAAGAGCACACAGCACAGCTTACAAGTGCAACGCATCCTATATTAATCTCAGGTCTTCACCCTCCAGATGGGTCCAAGGAAAGAAAGCGGCTCACACACTGGGCCGACCTGCAGTCCCTGGCAGCAATGTTGGAAAAAGAATAAAGCTGATAAAGCTGCCGCAAAAGAGCTGCCAGGGGAATTCTCGGCTGTCACCTACTGGGAACGTGCTCCCCAGCAGCCCACTTTGCGATCCAGCCAGCAGGGTCCGCCCTGCTGCCTGGTGTCCCCACCCCCCAAGCACCTGCCCATCAGCTACAGGACGCCTGACCCCTACCAGGACCTCAGCCCCTCCTCCCCCAGCTCCCCAGCTGCTGGATGCCTGACCCCCTGCCAAGACCCCAGCCCCTTCTCCTCCAGCTCCCGGGTGCCTGACCCCCTAACAGGACCCCAGCCCCTCCTCCCCCAGCTCCCCAGCTGCTGGACACCTGACCCCCTACCAGGACCCCAGCCCCCTCCCTCAGCTCCCAGGTGCCTGACCCCCTGCCAGGACCCCAGCCTCCTCCCCCAGCTCCTCGTGCCAGCAAGAATGGTTTCAAAGAATCTGCAGTTAGAAGCAGCGGGGCGGGCTGTTCTCCTCCTGTCCCAGTAGCTCTGTTCCACCGGATTTAGAGCTTGACTTTCACACTGAGTCTTTTATTTTTGGTTTGAGTGGACACATATGTCCGTGGTTATGGCACACAACATAACTGTGGGTACCCCGCACATACACCCCATGCAAGAACCTCACAGGGTGACCCCTGGTTCCTACTCTCCAAACACACATCATTGGACTCAGGGTGCAGATCCTGGCAGAGCAGTCGCTGCGAGGCCCCACTGCTGACCGCAGCCTCAGCGCAGCGGGCAACTGCGCCACCAGGTCTGCGCCCTGTGTCTCCTCATTCAGGACGGAGGACACACTTAAGGTCACAGGGAGTTGACAGGAACAAAGCTGAGAGGCCCTCAGGGCTGGGGGCGTGACCACTGCTTGCAGAAAGTCAGCCAGCAGTGAGGAGGCGGTCACTAGCCAACAGCCCACCTGGCATGGGTAGCTGGGGGTCAGGCCGCACTGTGCCTCCACACTTGTGCAGCTGACCTGAGCAGCTGTGGTGGCCGGAGCCTTGGGAAAAGGTCAGAGTCCCCTCCATGCTCGCTCCTGGCCCCTTCAGGGACGCAGACCACACCTGCCAGCGCAAAAGGTCGCGGACGTGTGGACATGAGGCCAGGTGGCTCAGAGAGCAGTCACTGACCTGAGACCAGCTCATCGGGCCACACAGGGCCAGGAGCCCTCTGCATGACCTCAGGCCTGGGGCTGACCCCACAGCACGGCCCCCACGCTAGAGGACTCTGGGATGACCCTGGCTTTGCTGCAAAGGACTGACTTGGAAGGCATGTCCTGAGAAAACGGACTGTGAAAGCACCCAGCAGCTATCCCTGGACAGAGTGGAGCAGGGGACCTGGTCAAGAGGAAGATGCCCCCGTCCTGTCCCTGCCTGGGCAGCATCTCCCTGCACTGGACAGGAGCCACGTGGGTGTGGGCAGTGGGTCCCGGCTGGGAATGTGCCGTGTGGCAGTGGTGGGGACGGCCACCCTTCCGGACACTGTCCTTTGACACCCCTCCCCCAGCTAAGGCTCCCACTGACCACTCGTCAGGGCTGTCAGCAGCGGTATGGACACTGAGGACCAGAGAGCAGGCTCCACGCAGAGGCATCGCCAAGAGCAATGCTCTGTTCTGACAGAGGAAGCTCAGGCCCAAGGACCTGAAGGAAGGAGTGACGTCCAGTGTGGGGGAGACGTACCCCCAAGAGGGATTCATCGCACTTGCCTCTGCACCCCCAAACCCTGGGGCAGACATGCTCATGAAAATAATGTGTGAAAGGCAGAGCAAATGCAAGACCAGGACCCCCGAGCAGGGCAGCACCCTCATGGGACACAGCACGAGTTCTGAGGCTGGCGGCTCGCTCACCCACGTGGAGCATAGCTGCCCATCCAGCACGCCCAGTCTGCTCTCTGCAGATCCCTCCCCGGCCTGCCACAGTCCATTCATTCACATGACGGGTGGGAAGCTCTTGCCTGCTCAAGTCCCAGCCCCACTTCTGCCCCTTCCCCTCGGGAGGCCTCCTGGGCTTCTCCAGGCTTGCCCTCCCTGACCTGTGGTCGGACACTGCTCCCTGGGTCATACCCGTGGCCCCTGCCCCAGGGACAATGTCCTTGGCTGCTGGACGGCTGAAAACCATATTCTGTATCTACTGGATTCCGCGGTTGCTTCAAGGAGAAACGTCAATATTTTCTCCTTTATTTCATGTTGGCCAAAGTAGACATTTTCAGTGCCACTCTAGAAATTTTAAACATTTTCTGAATAATGTTTCTGTTGATGCACGGAACTGCCACCACTCTAAGAACTGTAGACCTCTCTAAGTTCACTGCGACCCCAGTAGGAACTGCTACAAGATACCGAGGACAGACAGACTGGTGGACAGACCCTGCACGGATTTCAATACTGATCCACACGCAAGTGTCTGGCCGTCCAACAATGCACACGTAACTGCAGCGTGCTCCTCGGCCACCACACATTTCTTCCTTCTTTGTGAACTCACGGGAGTGAGAACAGCGCAGGGTGTGAACTGGACCCAGGGGAGTGAGAACTGCAAATATAAATTGAATCAAAATTATAGAAATCAGATCATCTTAGCTAAGTGAAACCAATGTGCGTGAGATGCAGACAATCCCCTTGCCGATTCCTCAGTTCACGAGCAGCTGAACCCATGGCTTCAGGACTCACCGCCTGTTCTCCCCCCAAGACAAAGTCCCCATTAATTACATCCTACTGTTTATATGACACAAATCTCTAAAACTTGAAGAAAATTGAATGCTTACTAAAGTAAAAAAAAAATCTCGGCTAGATAAAAGGTATAATTACCCTACAAACGTGTCCCCGCTGCTGTCTGCACAAAGAACCTACGCGAGGAATTACACCAACGGTGACTAGTTTTCAGATATGGGCGACACTAACCATGCACTTAATAATTAAGACACGCCAGGGAGATGCTTTAGAAAATCATGGAATAAATCAACTCGGCTGTGTAGACTAGTGGAGACCCTCCCTGTGAGAATTACAAAGTCTGCCGCTCCTTATGGTGAGAAGTTGCGTTCTGCCACGTGTTTAGACCTTCCACTTTGTTGACTTCTGAGAGACTTCACAAAGCTCGCAGGGTGAGTTCATGAATTCACAAGCTCAGGTTCAGGGAGTCATGAGCAGGGCTGGAGTTGCTGGCCTCATCTGCCAGAGCAGGGGGAGCAGAAACACGAGGGACCGTGCCCTTCTCAGTGTGTGGGCAAGCTCCGTGGCTCCGCTGCCAGGTTGGCTCCCCTAAGAGCGGACGGACACCCTGCACCAGGCCAAGGCTTGCTGACCAGGAAGTCTGCAGCAGCGTGGAGACCAGAGGGCCTGGCAGTCACCCCCAACCCGGCCTCTCAGCGACAGCCCAGAAATGTGCAAGATACGAACAAGCATTCCTCAAAGGATGAAGCACAAATGGCCGTCAGATACATGAAGAGGTGCCCAGGACCATCAGCCAGCAGGGAAATGCAGATACAAACACACTGAGTTCTCACCTCAGCACAGTGAGAATGGCTACCATGCAAAAACCAAGATGAGTAAATGCTGACGAGGATGTGGGGAAAAGGTACCCCAACCTACTGTGGGTGGGAATCACTATGGAAGACCACTGCAGATTCCTCGGAGATCTTAAAATAGAGGCACCAGATGGCTGGCCATCCCACTCCTGGGAATGTATCCAAAGGAAATGAAATCATATCAAAGAATTATCTGGAACCCCATGTCTACAGCAACACAATACACGACAGCTGAGACATGGAACCAACCTGGGTATCCATCACCCAATGACTGGGTAAAGAGGAGGTTTATATACACCAACATCTACTACTCAGCCATAAAAGCAACAAAACCCTGGGACTGGCCCAATGGCTCCATGGCTTAATCCTCTGCCTGCAAGCACTGGGATCCCACATGGGCACTGCCTTGTGTCCTGGCTGCTCCACTTCTCATCCAGCTCTCTGCTAACGGCCTGGGAAGGCCACAGAGGATGGCCCGAGTCCTTGGGCCATGCACCCACGTAGAACAGCTGGAAGAAATTCCCAGTTTCAGATCAGCTCAGCTCCGGCCACTGCAGACATTTGGGAAGTGAGCCAGCGACTGGAAGATCTCCCTCTCTCCCCTTCTCTCTGTAAATTTGCCTTTCAAATAAAAATAAACCTAAAAAAGAGAGAGAGAAAATGAAATCCTGTCTTTTGCAACAAAACCAATAAGTTAGTTCCCAAAAGATAAATGGTCTCTTTGATTTGCAGCAACTAATATGGAAAGTATAAAAATCGCAATGTACCAGGGCAAATGGACGTTCTGAGATTTAGACAGCTTACGCTGCTGTCTGCACTGCCACTCCTTGCTGAATTCCTCATTTCGTGGAGGGTTAGACAGTACACTGACGGTACATCACTGCAAGTTAACAAGAAAGGAAGAGGAGGGGCAGGTGGGAAGCGTAAACATGCTCTTAAAATGCTACACATGAACTATTTAAAATTTGCTTATGTAAGTTTTTAAAAACTGAAACTAAACAGATATTTCCTGATACTGTCGACTCTGGTCAGAAGATACTGTAAATAAACGTCTATTCCTTCAGAACTTATTTGATGAGACTCAGAATTACTCCTGATATTAAGATAAAATTATATATTAAAATTAAACGATACACTCCAATTTCATGCTCATGCTACGAAAATCCCACACAGATTCACAAGTGGCTTATATTTTATGGGACATAATGTTTTAATTATATGTGAAGCTAATAAGCTGCTTCATAGACTGCCCAGTCTCTTTGGTTCTGGGTTGGGTTTACCTCTCACACCTTGTCCTGGCCCACCTTTCTCAGCACCCTGGTACTTAACAGTTGGACGCATGCCAAGTCTCAGGCCTATTCACAACTAGATCTGACTGTGACAATGAGAGGGTCTGTGCTCCAACATATGGGAGAAGTTGGGGGCGCCTGCAGCCCATGGCACAGCTACTCCGGAAGCACAGCCACTGTGCCAGCACGAGCGTGTCAGGGCACTGCACTGTGCGGCACACAGCTGGCACGAAGCCACAGCTCTCCAAGAAGCTGTGCTTGCTTACCAAGACACAAGCAAACCTTCTTTCCAACCTCTTAAAACTGGTACACATCATGATGCCCAACCTGTGCCCCTCCACCACTCCGGGCCCTGGCCAGAGCTCACTAGTGCCAGCCACCCTGTCCTCTGAGCAGAAGGGGCATTTTCACATGCTCAGTTTGAGACAGACTGCATGCAAAGTGATTCCAACTGAATCCAACAAAACACAGAGGCACCCATCTAAGAAACTGAGATTCATTTCTGGCTGTGCGATGGTTTCAACGGGTTTGCCTCACTTGTCCTGTCCCAGCCAAGCTAAGGCTTCTCTGCCTGTTCCAGGGCTTCGGGCATCAGCAGTGGCGTCAGCAGAGCTGAGCAGTGTGCAGCAGACAGCAGATGGGTTCGAGCCAGCAGCCACAAAGCCAACTTCTCTTTGCTTTTTGTACTTCTGAATATTTTCATGGGTTCATGATCTTTGCTCTTTAAACTCTACTAAACTCCAGTGAATCTGGGTCCAGCATTTGTTGAGAATTCAGGAAAATGGGTTATCTTGGGTCACTATTACTTTCTCCCTCTTCTGCCCATGCCAACAGCCCAGCGAAGTGCTCGGTACACCCTCAGCCTTCGCAGTTCCCCACTGGTATGGCTGCACGGTGGGCTCAGCTGCTTCCCCTTCATGTGGATGGAATTTACGCTCAGGAAGTGCAGTGTCTGCTCTCGCCGGTGTGTGGTAGTCTACAGGCATTGGGGCTCTGGCAGCTGGCACGGCCACGCTTCCTGCCGCCTGCAGCCCACCCACGCTGCCAGCATGCTCTAGGGTCTTGTATCTGCTCTTCTGCTTGTATAAGACCTGAAGTCCAGGCTCAGTTACACTGGAGACAGAAGCAGTTAAGACAGACTCAGAGAACATGGTGAGGACCCATCCAGCTGTGATGTGGCCAACAAGGCAAGCTGCGCCCGAATGAGCAAGGACGGCCTCCTTGGCCTCCTTGGCCTCTCCGTCTTGCACGGGAACTCACCTCTCTGCCCAATGCTTGCCCTCTTGGAAAAGTTGCTAACAAACACACACCACAGCCAAAGTGCCAACACTGGAGCTGATTTTACTTTTATATCGGAACGTCTGAGGGGCTTGTGTTGTGCTCTGCCTGTGACGCTGGCATCCCTGTGATCACCAGCCCCTGTCTGGGCTTTCCATTTCCCATGCAGCTCCCTGCTGATGCTCCTAGGAAAAGCAACAGAGGTGACCCAAGTGCTTGGGCCCCAGTGCCTATATGGGACACTCAGCTGAAGCTCACGGCCTCTCCTGGCCCAGCTCAGGGCCCCCATTTGAAGAGTGAACCAAAAGGCGGAAGACAACTCTCTTTCTCAAGAAAGTAAATAAATTATTAAAAAAGCAAAAACCCCAAATAAAGAGAACACAAATACACAGGGAGCTTCTTTTTTAACCCCCACACACCAGCACTCAGCGAGCATGGTGCTACTGACATCCAGCAGTGTGGTGCTGTGCTCTCCAACAGGAATGAAATCAAAATCGCACAGCCATGGCAAGAGGCTGGCACACTGTTAGTGAAGAGTGCTCGAGCCTTCCTTCTGATCCAGAACTTCGCCCTAGTTCACCCTATCATGGCAGAGACCTGTCCACTCCTCTGACACCACTCCTGAATCAGTCACTCCCAAAGTAAGAATGCATTTTTACAGGTTAAAAGATCTAAGCTCACTGTGTGTAACACAACTTCACTACCTCCACACCTGGGGTTCTCTACCAGCAGCTTTGGGGGCCAACCACCATCACCAGAGAGCAAGCAAAACCACATCACTGCCCGAGCCCCAAGCTCCAGCAAACGCTCCATGCAGGAACCACAGAGAAAGACCAATCCAGAGTCTGGCTCCCCCCACGGTTGGCCACGCCTGGAGAGACATGGACACCTTGTGTCAAGTCCCACACTGTCCCCCTTTCTTGGAGGGGGCCCACAGTCAAGGGCAGCATCCTGCGGAGGCTCCTCTGTGGCTGCAGGGGCATTGCGCCATGGGGGGAGCTGGGCAGCAGTACACTGCCTTGGTTCAGGATTTCAAAGGATTTGAAGTCAGAGGGACAACGCATGCAGCCTCACACCGTCACAGGGCATAGGAATCCAAAACAGGCCGAACGGTAAGTGAGGGGGAAGTGTGTTCAGCAAAAGCTGCTGGCTGTCCCTGCAACAGCATCTCATGAAGGTGTTACCCGAAGGCCTGTCTTCCCCTTTTCCCTTGGCTCAACCACAGAGGTGAAAACACAGCCTTTCCAGATCCTTCCAGGACCCTGTGAAGACCCCAGCATGGTCACCAGCTGTGCCTATCAGGCCACACAGCACTCTGCAGCCAACGGAAGTTACCCAGACCCCCCACTCTGGAGGTGATGCTCCGTCTTACCCCATGATCATCTGAACCCCTAGGAAGCTCCGTCTGAATGTCTACAGCCCCTAATCAAGGGTGGCCAGAATAGGATGACAGCACGTGCTGGCCAAAGTGAAGACGCTAAGATCTGCCCCAGGGCACTGCCATCCGGGTGTGAGAGGGAGACATGCTTATTGTGCTGGGGACTCTCAGTGTCACACACACATGCATGCGTGTCATGTACACCATACAGGTTAATAACATGCATGTGCACCTGGACAGGCTAACACGTGGGCACCTGGACAGGCTGACAACATGTACATACCTGGACAGGCTGACAACACGTGTGCACATGGACAGGCTGACAACATGTACATACCTGGACAGGCTGACAACACGTGTGCACATGGACAGGCTGACAACATGTACATACCTGGACAGGCTGACAACACGTGTGCACATGGACAGGCTGACAACATGTACATACCTGGACAGGCTGACAACACGTGTGCACATGGACAGGCTGACAACATGTACATACCTGGACAGGCTGACAACACGTGGGCACCTGGACAGGCTGACAACATGTACATACCTGGACAGGCTGACAACACGTGTGCACATGGACAGGCTGACAACATGTACATACCTGGACAGGCTGACAACACGTGTGCACATGGACAGGCTGACAACATGTACATACCTGGACAGGCTGACAACACGTGGGCACCTGGACAGGCTGACAACATGTACATACCTGGACAGGCTGACAACACGTGTGCACATGGACAGGCTGACAACATGTACATACCTGGACAGGCTGACAACACGTGTACTACAGACAGGCTGACAACATTTACATACCTGGACAGGCTGACAATACGTGTACTACAGACAGGCTGACAACAAGCAGTGTGTGCACCTTCACAGGCTAATCGCATGTGCCATGTACTTACTGACAGGTTAACAATACATGTTACCTACACCGTGGACAGGCTGACAGCACATGTTGTGTGTACCATGGAGGGCTAACCACATGAGTCATGTGCACACGGACAGGCTGATAACATGTCAGCGGGGGCGGCCGTGACCGAGGACTGGCCAGAGATGTTCCCAGACCGAGTGTCCCCAGTCGCCTCCCCGTCCAGCGCAGAAGGCAGCTTTACGGACAGGGCGGCCGAGTGTCCGCACCACTGAGGAACTACAGGGATTCATGCTGAGGAGAGAGAACGTTCAGGACTGAGGGGTGTGTCCACAGAGGCGAACTGCATGAATTCAGATGCAAAGGGGAACAGCAGCTTTCCCAAATGCTACTTAAAGCCAGGAAAGCATAAGGAGCAGGCGCCACAGTCAGAGCACGGCCAACTATGTAAAATGCAGGTGTGGGAGGCACCGGGCGGCAAGGGGGTGGCTGCCAGCTGTTACACAAGGGGCACAGCGACACCTGCGGCACGCCATCTGGGAATGTCTCCATCTTCCAGGCTTCTGCCTCAGCGCCAAGCCCACAGAGTCCCACGCTGTCACCCGTGGAGCTGGCATCGGAGTCCCCCACCGCCCGGCTCTGCCGCCATCTTTGCCCAGGCAGATCACCACCACTGTGCCAACGCCAGGCACTTCGCAGACGCCTTGAGCTGCCTCGCTCGCTACCTGTGAACCTCAGGAGATGATTTCCATCTCCTCTGAGCTAATCTTCAGTCGGAGACATCAGAGAAAATCTGCTTTTCCTAAAGCTTCTTTCAAAGAGGGTTTGACGTCACTTTGTGGGCCTCGTCCCTGACCAGGAGAGGAGCAAAAAGGATCACATGGAAAAGCTGCAGGCTCAGCGGATGAAACACTGCGCACATCTGGCTCCATTCCGAGAGGGACTCTGTCCTCCCCCACGATCGGTGGGGGTCCCCTGCTGGGACTGGGCCTCGTTCCTGACCAGGAGAGGAGCAAAAAGGCTGACGGCTGAGTGACGGTGTCATTTACCAAGCGGCCCCACGTGGGGAACCTGGCGCTATCGGCAGGGTAATGAGCCCGACGTGCTCTGGTTCCCTACGACGTACACGTTAACCACAGAAACTACAAAGGGCAGGCGGCAAGGGGCTGCTAAGGGCAACCCCAAGTTAGTCCCCACATGCAGCAAGTGGCTGGGCTGCAGCCACATGAGCTACATTCCAAGTGAAGCCAGGCCCGGTGGCAGCGCACCACCATTCCGAGCTAATCCAGGACACAGCAAAACTCCAGGATGGGGAAGAGTGTGAGAGAATAGGAGCAGCCTGGAAACAGGAGGCGCAGCTTGCTGTGGCAGGCCCCCCGCTTCCTTCCAGCAGTGTCCAGCCCAAGGCCCAGATGGCAGCTCAGCCCAGCACAGGGCACTGCTCTCCCCAACCATGGCAGATGGGATGGGCATGGTCACACTAAGCCACACGCAGCGCCTGCCCGAAACTGAGGATTAAGGTCAAGTGACATTTGTATTTGCTTGCATCAGAGTCTCTCGGTTATGTGCCATCACGGGGACAACACAGGTCACTCTGTGAAGCTGCTGGAAAGGATGGGCAGGTGGGCAGCAGTGCAGGGAGGAGGGGGCAGCAAGCTGTCTGTCACCCACCCCGTGACACAGGCTAGAAGGTTCCTGGTCCTGCAGCCCCTAGACACAGAAGATGCAGCACCCAGCTGCTTCTCAGCTCCTCTCAGCTTGGAGGGGACTCCTGCACACAGCTTCACACCCTCGGCCACGGTGAGGACCCGAGCTCCAGGGGCTGGTCCTCGGCCACCACCTGGTGCAAATCACAAGCTGACCCTAGACTCACAGGTCTAAGAATGAAAACCGGAAGGACTAGAATGATTTTAAAAGAAAGGCAGGGATGGGACAGCCACGGAACGATGGGAAGGGGTGGAGGCTGTGAAAGCCTTAAAGGCCCAATGACGAGGTGGGGAAGGTGCTACAGGGAGAGGGTGTCAGGGCCAACGACATCCCTAGTGGCCAGGATGGGGAAGGGGAGGAGGTTCCGACACCTGCAGGGGCTCAGGAATGAGGCTGCAGACACGAGAGGAGAGCTGGCGATGTTAGGGCTGGTGACACCCCTGATGGCTAGGACGGTGCAACCCCAGGATGGGCGGCCTTGCCCAGCATGGCGAGGGGAGGAACTGTGTCAGTGCCCACACAACCAGGGCTGCTGAGGGCTGGGAACATGGGGTCACTGCTTCCTCTCCTGTTCTCACTCCCATTTCAAACCTTGACCCCTACTCACCCCACATGCACCACAAAGCCCTTCGTACAGGAACACCCCCGAAGCGCTGGGCTGCAAGGTTCCTGGCATTTGGTGCTGACCCACTAACAACAAAAGAGATGAAGCCATGGGCACTTTACCAGCACTCCGGCAGAGCCCCAGTGGGCACGTTGCCAGCCCCCTGGCAGAGCCCGAGTGGGCGTGTCACCAGCACCCCGCAGAGCCCGAGTGGGCGCTTTACCAACATCTCTGCAGAGCCCGAGTGGGTGCTTTACCAGCACCCCGACAGAGCCCCAGTGGGCGCATTACCAACATCTCCGCAGAGCCCGAGTGGGCGCTTTACCAGCACCTCCACAGAGCCCGAGTGGGCATGGGAGTGAGAGCCTATTTCCTCCCCGCTGCTGGTGAGACATGTGCCAGCACTGCTCCTCATCCCAAGCTTTGCTGCGCTAAGGTCCTTGGGCAGAGCACGTGCCAGAGGAACCGACTCATGAAAGAACACATTTCAATTCTGGGCATATTTTACAGATCCTCTGCTGATGCATCCTGATAAACACCCCCTTCAGGCTCTGCTCTGTTCAGAGAATAATATTTTTTTCTGGTTTTGCATTCAGTAAACAAATTGCCAGAATGTTCCAGTGTGTACTAGACACCATTGAATACACAGGAAAGTTCCAACCAGTGCAATCAGATTTACGTAGGCAAGTATTTACTGAAACCCACACGAGTGCCTCAGAATTTCTATGCATTTGTGTGTAAATGTGCGTGCATTGACAAAAATCTGTATTTCTAACATAGTTCTTCCTTGAAAAGAATACGACCACGGGTTCCTTCTAAACCCTCATCTCATGAAGGAAGGATCCGATTCCTCCACATGCAAAGTCTACTATCCCGCTCCTTCCAGTTCTTCACAAAACTGAAACAGCAAAAGCAATAAACACGTTCATCTCGGGCCGAGGCCCTGAGGTCGACTCCGACCTCACTCACAGCCCGGGTCTGTGCGTGGGAGGGCTGCTTCACCAGGACACCTGGCCGTCCCTGCGTCCTTGCTGAGCAGGAGTGGCTGGCTGCAGCACACACCTCCCGGGCGACTCCCCGGAGCAAGGGTGACAGGTGAGCCCGGCGTACTTACGGCCACGGCCTCCAGGATCTGCTTCACAGCATCCGCGGCGTCCCTCTCGCTGTAGTACCCCTTTTCCACGATCCTACAACAGGAAAAGCCTCTGAGTCACGTGTTTCACTGGGACAGAGGTCAGCGGTTCAACTGGCACTAGAGATGCTGCATCCCAGCAGGTGCACCAGCACTCACCACACACCGTTGAGACGTTCTACGTGCTCAGCAGACAGAGACACTTGTTACTGGCACTGGAGAGCCACAGCCCAACAAGCACGCCAGCTCGTGCCACGCCCCCTCGAGACTGCCCCAAGCAGGCCAGCTCCTGCCACGCCCCCTTGAGACTGCCCCAAGCAGGCCAGTTTGTGCCATGACCCCTCGAGACTGCCCCAAGCACGCCAGCTCCTGCCATGCCCCCTCGAGACTGCCCCAAGCATGCCAGCTCGTGTCACGCCCCCTCAAGACTGCCCCAAGCATGCCAGCTTGTGCCATGACCCCTCGAGACTGCCCCAAGCATGCCAGCTCCTGCCATGCCCCCTTGAGACTGTCCTACACTCAGCAGATGGAAGACAGGTTGTGCCTGGTCTTGGATTGCTCATTACGTCAGAGGAAAAGCCACTCTTTGTCTTTTAAACTCCATGCTGTGCATCACCATACACACAACACACAGCCCCCAGGAGATGGACAACCCTCTGCACCCTTTCATTTTACGGTGCTTGGGATGAACTAGGGCCACATAAGATGAAGACTGTAACATCAGATAAGAATGAATAATTTGTTCAGATGGCTCCCTTACTAGAAAGTCAACTGGAATAACTGGAGGGCTACACTTCCTGGGCCAGTCACGGGGCAGGCGGACACTGTGACAGCCGGGAGAGTACCTAGCTCCCATTCTGCCATCCTGTACTTGCCATCCATTGGGTCTGTGGTCAGCCCACCTACCAAGCTGCCCCCACACGCGTCAGTGCCTGAGCCTGCACCTGCGCCCACAGGGGCTAGGATTCCTCCAGTTGTGCTGGCGGAGGGGGGCTGTCAGAGATGGAGAGAGAGACTAACGGCTGACCTGCTCTGCAGCCTTGCCCTCATCCCAGAGACCTCCTGGCGTGTGCATGGACCTCCTGTGGTCACACCTTAGAGCCACAGCCTCACCCAGCCATCTGTTCAGAAGGCTGCCTAGGGCCACTGCTCCCGGCCTGGTCCAGGCAAGGTGGTACCCTTGGAGGTGGCTGGCTGCACAGGCCTCAACTTCCTCCCTGGGTCTCAGTCAGGCTCCTATGGGCTATGTACCCTGAGCGGCCTTGCCTCACCTGCCTGATATTTATCTGTGTATTCCAGTTTACCATAGCAAGTTTTCTCTTGCTATGGTGCTTGTCTGTTGTCACCGGCACATACCAGCTTTGGGGTTAAATGCCTATCAAAAGTCAATGCTGTGTCGCCCACAAATCCTCAAGTAGAACCCTACTGCTGCTCCACCATGCTCATGTTGGGGGGATTCTCACAGGCTGGAGTGCTCGCAGCTGGGATCTGTGCCCTCGTGGCAGGTCCCTGCAGGGCCCTCCTCACTCCCTCCTCTGCATAGGGGTCCCGTGAGAAGCCGCTGCCCATGAGCCAAAAGCGGCCCCGTGCCACGCCGAGCCTGCTGGCTCCTCCCACACTGCAGCCCCCAGAACTCTGAGAAATGCAGCCCCACTGTCCTGACCAGGCACAGAGCTGCTCTCCAGCAGCCCACACAGACGGGCACGGTCAGGTGACTGCCCACCAGCTCGCGGAGGAGGGAATCTCCTGGGAACTCCTTAAGGGAAGGCTGGAGAGGGGAGGAGGTGGGCATAGAGAATGCTTACCGGGAATTTCATGCTAATCAGTCACATAATTTAATTAAAGGCTGGGATGCATTTTAACTATCTAGCTGCACAGGCGTCCATAAGTAGCACGGCAGGATGACTGCACAGGACACTCCACAGAAAGCAGGACAGGGCCTCTGCCTCCTGGGCTCCTCCTGGCTTCCGGAGTCCGTCAGCCTGCCTCGGGAGATAATGCCGCAACAGTGGCTGAGAAAACAGCCCAGGAGCTCCTGCTCAGGAGCGCGGGGAGGGCAGGTACAGATCCTGGAGACAGGTACACCTCATCTCAGACCTGAAATGCATCTGCCGCGGGTGGGGCATGAGGAGCCCTGATTGGCAAGAACGCAAGGTGCGCAGGGATACCCTTGGCATTGCCTGCTGAAGGGTGGGCAAGATGGCCTGGGACCACAGTGATGAGAGGGGAGCTTCTGCACAGAAACACAAGGGCAGAGGTTTCAGTGGCATGGCCTGAGGCTGCCTGCGGAAAGATGGCAGTTCCAGGGCCCCATGTGGGGCTGCTACGCTGTCTCAGGTGAATCCTAGGGGCCTTCCCAGCCCTAAGCCCTCGGTCCCTTCTCTTCCATTCCTCCTGCGAGGAGCAGTGTTCCCGGGAGATATGACTAGAGGGTCACAGGTGTAGGTTTAAGGACGCAAACACCCACCATCCCACAACTGACATACCAAGGCCCCACCGTGGGAAGTGTCTCCAGGGACAAGTGCAGGTTTTACACTCAAACCGAGGACGAGAAGACCATGGAGACTAAGCCAAACCCCGCAGCTACTTCTTTGGGAGATGTGTGTGGCTGACGCCTGGTGTCCTCAGAGCTGACCTGTGGGTCTCTCTGAGCTGTGACATGTAACAGCTCCTCCAACAAGCTGAGCTGCCACTTAGCAAATTGTCACTGAAATTCTCCCATGCCAGCGGCTCACTTGTCTATGCATTTATGCCAGCGGCTTGATTTTCAGAAGCAGCAAAGCACTCCATCACTCTGAAGGGCTTAAAGCTACAGCATCAAGGGGACCGTGCCTGCTGGCGGTTTTGTTTGTATTTGTATTTGTACATAGTCAGTGCTGCTGCATTTCACTTTGCACCTGATAATGCAAACAGCAAAGCAGGAAAGCTGCTCTGGCACTGTCAGACCACCATCCAACGCACAGGGACCTGCAGCTGCCCTGAGTCACACAACCCCCAGCATCCTACCACAGTCAGACAAACACCCCAGCTCCTGCAGGAGCCCCAGTCTCCCAGGGCCTCACAGGTGTGGCAATGTCTTGCTCCAAGCCACTGACCCCCACGCCTTCCATATCCCTGGCCGCTTTGCTACGCCGCTGTTATGCCAGCCCAGGAGCCCATACCCCCTCCTGCCCCTCCTTCCTGTCAGGTTTAAATTGTAGGATGAGCAAATGTGGGCCACGCCCTTCTCTCTGCCACCAAGGATCTGCCTGATACCAACTCCCCGCCACTTCCAGTGGGCTGATTGCTTCAAACTTGGCTGCATGTATTTCTGTGTAAATGGAGAGCATGGGCACAGGGTCACTCTGCCCACCTGCCACCTGTGCCCACTCCATTGGCACCAGCCGTCTCCCTTCCCAACTGGGCAGCTTCTTTGCAGCAATGCACTCTCCAGAAGCCTCCCGCAGAGTGGCTGCTCTAGAGGAGCCTATAGGAGCTAGGGGACACCTGTCCTCTGTGTAGCAACTGGGACGGGGGAGTGACCCAGGGCAGAGCTGGGGGCAGGCTGAGAGATGTCAGCTGTCTCATGCCAACAGAGCAAAAACTGACCAGAGCCACTGCTTATTCAGCCACTGGCTGACAAGTAGCCAGCAATGCCTAAGACGCCAAGAACCACCCAGTACCTGTGGGGAGCAGAGCTGTAGCCTTCTCCAGCCCTAGAAGACCGTTCCCCTGCTCCACATGTTGACCTGCCATTACTCAGGACACGCCCCCATCTAGCCTGCCACGCAGGGGGTCCTGCATCCAAGTCTGCCCATGTCTTGCTCTGGCAGCAGCCCACGCACACCCGGCTGCTATTCTTCGAGTGCGGAGTGCAGGATGGAAGCCTGGCCAGCGCTGGCAACTAAGAGAACCTGCTCTACTCTGCAGGGGTGAGTGGCCGCTCAGAGGCCCTGACCCTTGGGTGCACTCGAGCGCTACACAGACCACCCGGATGGCACACACCTGCCCCTCCCACAGCCCCCCTCAAAGGCAGCCTCGTCGTAAGCTCATGCATTTAGTGTAACATCAGTAGGATATGGAGTTCTGGGCTTACTGGGGAGGCCAAGGTCTGGAGGATGCACAGGCACTACAGACCCGGCTTCACTCATCACAGCTCAGGATGCAGTACCTCCTCCTCCACCCTGCTTAGTGCTACCCCAGCAGGATTCATCAGCGCAGGAGCCGTCCTCCGCAAACAGTCCTGGGCCCGGCCCCAGCCCACTCACCAGCGAGGGAGCAGTCTCAGAGCCCCCCTTCCTGAGGGTGGTCCCCAGGAAACCTCCTGGGCCTGGCCCCAGCCCACTCACCAGTGAGGGAGCAGTCTCAGGGCCCCCCTTCCTGAGGGTGGTCCCCAGGAAATGGTCCTGGGCCTGGCCCCAGCCCACTCACCAGCGAGGCAGCAGTCTCAGAGCCCCCCTTCCTGAGGGTGGTCCCCAGGAAATGGCCCAGCCCACTCACCTGTCAAACAGCTCGCCTCCCGTGACGAGTTCTAGGACCAGGCTGATTTCTGTTGGCGTTTCGAAGATCTCTTTAAGCTTTATCTGGGGAAAGACAGGATAGAACCTGAGCTGCTTCCACGTGTTTCTCCGAAGCAGCTGGCAGTGTCCTCTGCAAGCCCTCACTGCACCAGGCAAGCAGTGCACCTGCTTCTCCTGTCAGTTACTTCATTTATCAGATTCTACAGGATTCGAGATCTTTCCCTTTGACAGCTGACAAACAGCTGCCTTGGAAACATTCACTAAATTATGCCAGAACATCCAGTTTCTGGATTGCTTCAGAATAAAAAACAAAGCCAACAGCTGCCAAAGACAACGTAGTAGTCACGCTTGCTCCAATGAAAACACCAGCTTCTGGATGCAAAGGGTGTAGAGCTGGGGCGGGGCAGGCTGAGTCTGTGTGCTTGCCGTGTTCTGCAGCCGACCTGCTGCTGTGTCCCAGGAGAAGCAGGTGCAGTGGTGATGCAGTTCAGAGAATCCAGGTGCTCTTGGATGTTGTGTCCTGAGAACCAGCGCCTGGACCCTGACCTGCAGGAGACGCCCATGCCAGCTTTTCTTTGAAAGAAGGCAGGTGGCTCCCGTCCCAGTGCTGACCATGGGGCCATCGGGAGCCTGAGCCTGTGCAGCTATGAGGAGGATGGGTCTGAGTGGGGGACAGCCCTGCTCCCCGACTTCCCAGTCTCCAGGTAGCCAAGGGCTGGTGGGGGCAGCTCTCCCTTGGGGTCTCCCCTTTCAGACCCTCCTTGGCTGTTCCTCGCTGCCCCCCTGTGGGCATCTTGAGGTGTTCCTGCAGTGAGAATCTCTCAGGCGTCTTGTGTACACTCAACCCCACAGGCGAGCCCAGAGCCCAAGAGCCACCCCCGTGTCTGGCACTGGCCTGTCCCTAAGACGGGCACAGGCAGGAGGAAAGGGGGCTGGCCAGCACACCTGTGTTGGGGAGCTTGTCGGGAAGAGGATGTACTCAGCCCAGGAACTGGGACCAAGATGAGGACAGACCTGCAGCAGCCACCCGAGGTGGCAGAGGGCCCATCTCGCTGTCAGCAGGGACAGGGGCCAGCCTCGGATGCTGCGGGAAGGAGCAGGTCAAACGCCTTACTTACAATGTTGGGGTGGGAGAGGCGCAGCAGGACTCCGATCTCCGTCCGCACAATCTTTTTGTCCACCTGCAAGGCAGCGAGAAGGAGGAAGTGAAGGATACCAGCCTGAGGATGACAGCAGCGGAGGCCAGGACTGACCAGTCCCACACCTGGTCTCCCTGTCAATTTTCTCTCCTTTCAGTCCGGCAGGAAACAAAGCCTCGGAGCTTCAGTGCCCTTGTGCCCCTGCACATTTCCGGGGGATGAAACCCTGCCCATGTCCAACCTCAAGGCCTGTTCTCACTGGTAGTGGTTAATGAGACAGATGTCCAACAGGCTAACCATGGGCACGGGGCTCCTCCACTGACCACAGTCGGCAGGCAGAGGAGGCTCCTTCTGACACTGCTGTCGGTTTGTTTGTGTGAAGGAAGTCAGGAGCCGACAGTACATTCTGGAAGTGGTCGGTGTGTGTTTATTTGAAAGGCAGACGAGAGGGAGAGACAGATCTTTAAATCTGCTGGTTCACTCCCCAGATGCCTGCACAGCAGCTGGGCCAGGCTGACGCCAGGAGCCAGAAACCAGAGCTCCACTGGTGTCCGATGAGAGGGGTACTTTAGGCCATCACCCACTGCCCCCCAGCTGCACGAGGCAGGAAGTGGGAACAGGAATGGATCCCAGGTGCTCTGACACGCTGGACGGCACCATACCTGCCCTTGCTGACTGCACTTCACCTTGGTTCCCTCCAAACTCCATCAGTACCATGCCTGAGTCCTTCCTGTCCAGGACTGACCAACAAACCATTAACCAGTAATTACTGCTGTCCAGCAACTCTTGCCTCCAAAGTCCACATGCACAACTTGACTTTCCTGGCAACCCCTGTGTACCCTTCCAACCAGCAACTCTTTCAATGCAGGGGAAAAGTGGGGCTTTGCTGGTGGCTGTCAACTGACCAGGGAGCATGGCACCCGAGGCCTAGGCATGCCCTGCACCGCAGCAGTGGCGCTGCCCACTGTCTGCAGGTTCCTAGTAACAGAACGAACACCACTCTGCTGAACCGTGTACAGACATTGTGTGTGTAGACCACAGTGACAGCTGCCACATTAGGATCCACGGCACACATACAGCAGGAGCAGTGTGAGCAGTGTGGGGGGGGCAGTGTGAGCAGCGTGAGCAGTGTGTGTATGGGTGGGGGGCAGCGTGAGCAGTGTGTGTGGGGGGGGCAGTGTGAGCAGCGTGAGCAGTGTGTGTGTGGGGGCAGTGTGAGCAGCAGGAGCAGTGTGTGTATGGGGGGCAGTGTGAGCAGTGTGGGGGGGCAGTGTGAGCAGTGTGTTGGGGGGGCAGTGTGAGCAGCGTGAGCAGTGTGGGGGGGCAGTGTGAGCAGCGTGAGCAGTGTGTGTATGGGTGGGAGGCAGTGTGAGCAGCAGGAGCAGTGTGTGTATGGGTGGGGGGCAGCTCAGCTGTTGCGCAAAAGGCAGTCCGGTGCACACAGCAGGAGGTATCTACGGGGAGACACATGGCTGACACGCTGCTGACCGCACAAGGTTCCCCAGAGTCCTGCCCACCTTCTACGAGTACCTTCTGAAGCTGGTGGAGACCCCAGGCCTCCAGACCTGCCCTTCCTCTTGGGTGAACAAAGACCTCCTAGTGGACACGTCTAGACCTGCCACTGCTGCCTGTTGCTCTAAGCCATTTAAGGACACAGGTGTTCCTGAACTGGAGCTGGTGGCGTCAGAATGTACACGTTTAGGGCTTATGTCTCACAGGCTCCCACTCCTGATCCCTTGTATTGCTGACTAAGGTACCGTTTCGATAGATGGCAGGGTTTCTCATATATTCATGTTACACCGAGGACATTCTCACACAAATGGAACTTGGAACGGATGAACATTCTCCATGTGCTCATGCAACACAGGACGGCAGGTCTCTGGAGTGAACCTACATCAACTCCCACAACGCTCTGAATGGCCAGACTGCACCAAGACCAGCGCAGCCATCCCTGAGCTCCGTTATCCCTGAATTCAGAATCGGTATTTCCTTGGTGGCATTCTGAGGTGGCTGTTTCCCCCGGCACATACGCGTCAGGGTTTCTCATCTCCAAATGTGACCCCAGAGCGCCCACAGCTGCCTGAGCGAAGATGCATTTTATCCAGAAACTTTAAACAAATCACAGCAAAGTGCATGCCAAAGTGGACATCAGGCTGTCTTCCATGAAGCCAGTTAACAGCACCACACTCCTCATTAACTATTTCTAACTGAGGTCAACACTGTGGCATAGAAGGCTCAGCCACAATCTAGAGTCCCAGTATCCTATATGTGTTCCTGTACCAGTCACTCTGGGAAAAACAGAGGGAGAAGGCCCACATGCCTGGCACCTTCCATCCACAGGGAGACCCGGAAGCGCCTGGCACCTTCCATCCCAGGGAGACCCGGAAGCGCCTGGCACCTGCCATCCCAGGGAGACTCGGAAGCGCCTGGCACCTTCCATCCACAGGGAGACCCGGAAGCGCCTGGCACCTTCCATCCCAGGGAGACCAGGAAGCGTCTGGCTTCTGGGTTCTTATTAACCCAGCCCTTGGCATAGTGTTCATCTGGGGGTAAACCAGCAGAGGAGAGTCTGTCAAATAAATAATATAAATATTTTCTTTTAAAATAAGTAAATACCTTTTATTTTTGAAAGCATAATAGCTTTCATGAAAACACCCACCTGCAAAGGCCACAGCTTTATTATTACCATTTTTCAAACTGAGATTGAAACGATTTCTATATTTGAACCTCTGTTACAGGAATTATGTGTGGTTATGCAAGTCCTTGACAGTTTTATAAGTATGAAGGGCTCCTAATGGCAGAAAAGGTGAAAGCCACTGCTGAGGGCAATGCCGCCTTATCATCTGAAAACAGTGAAAAAAGGAAACAAATAAATCAACAGCTGGTGCTGACAACTTTTGTGGAAGAAAAGAATGTGGATCCAGGACCCAGCGTAGGCTGACAAGGGACTCAGGGGACCTGGACATCAAGTCCCACTGACCGGGATGGGAGACTCGGAGGACCTAGGCACCAATCCCCCCCGACCCGGGATGGGGGACTCGGGGGACCTGGGCATCAAGTCCCACTGACCGGGATGGGAGACTCGGAAGACCTAGGCACCAATCCCCCCCCACCGACCCGGGATGGGGGACTCGGGGGACCTGGGCATCAAGTCCCACTGACTGGAATGGCGCAGTGAATGGTGAGACCCAGATTGTGAGTCCTGGCAGTGCCAACCACAGAACCTGGCACAGCACAGAAGTGAGAGGGACGCGGCTTTAGGAGTGGCTGGGAAACAAGGCACACATCAAACCAACTGCTTCCTGGGCAGTTGTCCCCACAGGAGGGACAACTTGGAGGGCACCTGGGGCTGGGTCCCAACAGCCAGCTCCTCTCTGCCTGCCCAGGGCACCTCTGGTTCTGCAACAAGGAGTTCCTCTCCTCCCCTACTGCCTTCTGCATTGCCCAGAGCCCCAATGGCCCATGCCACATGCTCATCAGCACTGCTCACCAGAAAGCCACTGGCATACCAGCCTTCGGTGTCTGAACAGCATCACCACACTTCACACCTGCCTGGCAGGCCCTGGGAACCCCGAGTCACACCTCGGGCCTCCAGAAAACACCTCAAAGGAACATAGCTTGTCTCTGCCAGTAATTACAACGCTAACAGCCTATTTCGCTAAAGAGAGGACTGACTGGCAGCTGAAGACTGAGGACGATGGCTGTGCAGAAAGGTGGAGTCACACAGGGCAGGCAGGTCCAGCTCCTGTACTGCAAGGGGGAACACGAGGGGTGGTCGTATCGCCCTGGCTCCAGGCACTGCCCTGGGTGGCAGCGCTTTGGGGAAGCCCAGGGAGAGAAGGAAGGAGAAGCATTCACCTCCCCAGGAACCTCCTTCTGCTGCTGGGAGCACCTGGGATGCCCATGTCTGCTCAGGGCAGCTGGGACTCCACTCAGGTCCCAAAGTAGCTCAAAGTGCCAGCAAGGTCAGGTGGTTACTTGCATGACATGGCCTGGGTTGTGTGGCCATCCCTGCTTGGGCACAGGTGGGCAGAAGGGCTCTGGGGAGGCCCCGGTGCACTCTCCCTCCAGTGGACATTGTCCCTCCGGTATCTGAGAGTCATGGGTCCCATGCACGCAGTGGTCTCTGCTGGAGCCAGGCGGGGACAGCCACCCCCAAACAGCTTAGCCCTGACGCTGTTCTGCAGTCCTAGACAACACTGACAATCCAGAGCCCCCCTGTGCACTTTCTAATTTATTAATATCTATTTATAAAAGGGTTACAGAGAGAAATGGAGAGAATAAGATCCCACATTCAGTGATTTGCTCCTTAGATGCCCAATGGCCAGGGCTTCTTCCAGGTTTCCCATGTAGGGGCAGGGGCCATCTTCTGCTGCATCCCCGGGCACATTAGCAGGGAGTTGGATGGGAAGTGGAGCAGCTGGAACATGAACAGGTGCCTCACAGGGATCACAGGTGGCAGTTGTACCCAGTACAGCGGCATGGCACCCCCCTCCAATACACTTTCAATAGGAAATACACACTTCACAAGGAAAAATAGAGCAAGATGAACCAGCCCGGGTTCAGCACTCCAGGGGGCTAGATATGCCTTCCTAGAGTGCCTCGTCCTGCTGTCTGTCCTGAGGGAGTGGGGAAGCAGAGGACGGGAACTCTGAGACTGAAGTCACCTGAGTGGGCTCCACCACCGGCCAGGAATGGGCCAAGGCAGAGCCCTGGTTACACCCACAGTACATGTACAGAGGGGATTATGAAGGGAGCAAGGGCTGAAGCCTTAGAAAGCAACAGTAGCTTCTGCTTGGTGGGGAGATGGTTGGCTCAAGGGGTGAGCGGGCAGGAGGGGGAAATGGGGATGGGATAGTGCCTTCCACCAGCTCCAGCCGCCTGGCCACCCAGGACTGCCCTGAGTAGGGCTCCTGACAAGTGAGGGTTCTCCCCCACCACAAGAGGCGGCACTGGCTCCTGTTATCACATGCTGGCACAGCACTTTCTGCACACATGGCTCATTCAGCCTTGTATACTCTCCACCTCCTATCTCTGCACTC